TAAAACAAAGACTTATATTTTTGATATTTATTTTATATATTTAAATGCCATTTAACAAAGAAAAATCAACCAACAAAATGAGTTCGCGTGTCACCTCTGACACGCGTGTCATAGGTTCGCCACTATCCACTGAGCCAAACCGGTTAGGGCCAGAAATCAGGATTTTAAAAAGATTCCCAAGTGATTCTAGTGTGCAGCCAAGGTTGAGAACCGGGGCCTTGGAGAGATGCTGAGCAGGCACAGCTGGGCGGCCGCCGTGTGGGCAAAGGCATGCCCCGCCTCCAGCACGGCCATTGGTCCTGACAGAGCTCACGTGGGCTTGGGGAGGTGCCACGTGAGGTCAGGCCGTGAGGTCAAGTGTCGGAGGTCAAGTGTCGGGGTCAAGCCGAGCAGAGCCCAGGAAGGAAGATTCACTCTCCCGTGAGGACGCTGCCAGTCCTTCCATTGCTCACAGCCGGAACCTGGTCAGTCATCAGGTCAGTCCCCTGATATGAGAGTGGATGGCCTTGGAGTGTGTGTGTGGGCCTCTGCGTGTGTAAGGGGCGCTTGTGTGTGTGTGTGTGTGTGTGTGTGCGCGCGCGCACCAAAGCCGTCTAAGCAGACGCTCACAAAACCTCAGGTGCTGTGAGCTGAGCCATGCTGCGTTCAGTGTGTGTCAGGGTGTCTCCAGGAGCAGGGGGTGGGACCCCCGCATGTGGATGTGCAGGGGGTTTGGCCAGTGCAAGCCGTGGACGGCCATACTCTGTACGGACCCTCCTTCCTCTTTCTCGCGGGTGATTTGCGCTCTCGTGTGGGGTGCTACTGCTGCCCTGTCCAAAGACCTGGGAACACGTGTCCACACACGCCGGCCCATTGTGGTAGCCTCATCTGCCAGCAGTTGCAGCTCCCCTTTCTTAACGTTTTGCGCTCCAACGTCGAGGCCGACTCGACAGACCAGGCGCTAGGAGCAGGTCCAACGTCGGGTTGGTGATTGAGCTAATTGGCAATTTCCGCCAGGGAACTACTGCAACCAAGACAGGAAGGGCTTCCAATTCGGACCAGACTGTTGGAATTCTAAAAATAAAATTGGAGCGCAAAGGGTTAAGACTCCTGGCAAGAGGAGGGCGCTCAGCCTGCACAAGTGTCCCTCCTCAGCCCTCACCCCTCAGGCCCCTGGCCGAGAGAGGTCAGCCTTGTTTGCAGAAGGACCTTGAATGTGGTGCCTTACGTGGCCACAGGGCGCGTCGTGGATAGAGGAGGCAGGAAGAGCCGAGCCCAACAGTTCCCTGTGCCAGTGGCACCCTGAGTGTGTGTGTTGTTGGGATGGGGTGTCAGTGTAGGGTGGTGATGCCACTACCACGAAGGCTGCTGTGTTCATTCCCAGGAGGAGGGGCCCCAGAACACGGAGGTGGCACCCGAGCCATGCACACTCGTGTTGAGGACAGAGGAGTGATCGTATCGCATACAGAGATGGGGCTTAGGTATCAGGCTGTGCCCAGAGAGAGATGCCGGGAGGGGCAGGGGCTATTCCTGAAAGTGGAATTCATGACTGGGTTAACCTCATGGGACATCCCAAGGGTAGAAGACAAGTTTCGTCTACAACTCTGAGTGACCATGCGCAGTGGGTTTGAACGTGGGACTAGGCCAGCCGTGGGCAAACTATGGCCACGGGCCGGATCCGGCCCGTTTGAAAGTGTGGCTCTTCCACAAAATACAACGTGCTGGCGCGCACGTACAGTGCGACTGAAACTTAGTGGCCCATGCGCCACACTCAAGGGGCCAAAGAGCCACAAGTGGCTCGCCAGCCGCAGTTTGCCCACCACTGGACTAGGGAATTCGCAGGTTCTTCGGGTGTAGATTCATTTGCTTTTGAACAGTGGCAGCAGGTGGCCAGCAGGTGGCAGTGTGGGCTTGGAGCGGGACTGATGGAAGCAGGGCTCTTAAGTCACTGACTCCCCACATACTCAATATTTGGTTCAACAGGAAAATGATAAGGCTTTAATGGCTGCTAATTCTGAGAGACGTAATATATTTTCAGTTTGATGTTCTTTCCTTTCCGTAGAGATTTCAGATGGTACAAGCCCCCCTTTGATACAATGTTACTTCTTTTTATTTTGAAATTTTAAAATAAATCTTCATTGTTGAAAGTATTACGTATGCCCCCCTTTCCCTGCATTGACCTCTTCTAGCCCACCCCGCCCCAATGATACTTCTTGCAACACTTTTTATGGAGGATATGATGTATTTATTTTGAACACAGAAAACATCCACAGTTGTTTAAATAGCGCTTAATCCAGGAGCAAGAAAAGCTGTTCACTTTCCCACACTGATGAGTACATAGGGGTGCCCCGGCCCCCTTACAGCAGTCTTAAGGGTTGCAGAAGCAGGATGGGTTTCACCCCTGGAGTGCATTTAAAGCAATACAGTACAACAGACAGATATTTTTTGCTTGAAAAACAGTACAAGTAAACCACAAGGTGACAGAACTGCTTGTAAACAAGGTCCCTACTCCACGTGGAGCCAGAAGCTCCAGGTGCTGCCGAACCTTTGACCGGATTCCTTTCAGTCCTGCACCGACAAAAATACTAGTTCTATACAAAATAAAATTCACAATTGCCATTCTTGCTGCCCCCTTCTTAAGAAAGGGGTGAATTGTTTTAGCCCTTTGTGGGGAGGGGGAGGAGAGGAAAGGGGGTGTTTAAGGACGGGCGAGGGAGGCAGAGTGGACTTGAGGTCTCTGCTCCCTGCCGCTGGTGATGCTGGTGGGTCCCTCCTCAGGGATTCCCAGGTGCCCCCTCTGGCAGGCTGGGCGTTCAGGAGTCAGCTGTGTGACCTGCATGGCCTCTGTTGGAAACTGCTGGGTTTCATGGGCCAAGATTGGGGCCTCTCTACCACCAGGCAACCCACGCACGCCCTTCCGTGGCGCCCGGCATCAAGGCTGAGAGGCAACCGCTGGTCCTAGCAGCGGCACGATGGGGCTCACGTTGCCTTATATTGTCTCTGCCAACTCCCCAGAGGGCGAGACCAGAGCATGGCAGCTCAATTCCCAAAGGAGCAGCCGCCAGAGGACAGTGCCAGCTCCTGGGGCCTGGCTTGGGCCCATACTTAAGTGAGGGGCCGCTCCTGCGGCTCAGAGCCCTTATGTTCTGAAGATGCTCAGTCCTGGGCAGTGGCTGGACTGATAGGGCACAGCTGTGACCCTCCCCACCATGGCACACCCACCAGGAGCCCTGTTCATCCCTGTGGGTCAGGGTGGGGGCTTCGGAGATAACTCAGCTGGCAGCGCCAGGCTGAGGGCACGCTGGGAAGGGTGAGGGCAGAGAGGGCTGTGAGGGCCTCCAGGCTGTGCCCCAGCCCCTCAGGCCCGTGTCCGCACCCTGTAAGCGGCAGGGTGGTGATGTGGTTTTGTTGCCCTGGACTTGGCAGAGAGGTTCAGTGTGTAGCTGAGTCCCACTGAGACCTGTCCCACCAGCCAGGAGACAGGCTGCCCTTGGAGGGGCTGGGGGTTGACAGCTGACCTGCATGGTCAGGCTGTTTCTCGAGACAGAATCACAGTTTGGCACTGCCTGCCAGGTGAGGGCAGGGGCAAACAGGCCCGGGAGAGGCGAGAGCAAGCCTTAGTCCCCTCTGCACCTCTCTGCCCAGTGCTGTCTCTAAGTCATCACCGGCAGGCTGGGGAGGGATGGGAGGTAGGGAGAGCTTCCTTTTGAATGCAACCTTCACAGATGAGTTTGCATGGTGCGTGTGAGGGGGGCGTCTGTGTATGTGTCTTCACACGTGTGGGGCATGTTTGGATGTGTATGTACACATGGGCATGTCACTGTGTATATGTCTGTGTGTGTGTAAGTTGTGTTATATGTGTGCATGTAGGAGTGCTGTGTGTGCGCAAGAGTTTGTGTTGTGTGCATGTGTGTGTGCATGAGTTTGTGTGCAAATGTGTCTGTGTGCATTAGTTTGCGTGTGTGTATGTGTATGTGTGTCTCTGTGTGTTCATGAGTTTGTGTGTATATGTGTCTGTGTGCATCAGTTTGCGTGTGTATATGTGTATGTGTGTGTCTCTGTGTGCATGAGTGTGTGTGTGTGTGTGTGTGTGTGTGTGTGTGTGTGCGTGCGTGCGTGCACGCGCTCCCTGTGTTCCCGAAAGGTCTTTCTCAGCCCCTAGGGACTGGCATTCACACAATCATCTCTGGGCTGGAAGCCAGGCTTCCTTTTGGGCTCGGCGGGCCCTGGGGGCTGCTTGGCTCTGGTTCTGAGCCTGGCAGTGGCAGCAGGCTCGGTGGAGGGCAAGGCCCACACACAGCCTCATAAGGGGGCAGGGCATCCATGGAGACGGTGAAGAGGTCAGTGTGCGCCTGCTGGTGTCCGCCGGAGCTGTGGCCACTGTCGGTGTCTGTCAGCGAGTAGGGTGGGGGCGCCTCCGTGGGTGGGTACAGCTGGGTGGCCCCCGGCCCCATGCACTCTTCGTAGCTACAAGAGAAGGACTCACTCTCTCAGGGCCTGTGGGCCTGGCCTTCGGGCGGGTGTGGGTCTTTCCCCAGGAGCTGAGAGCCTGTGCTCAGTGACAAGCTGCCTGGCGTGAACCAGCCAGGCCTTTGTCATGGCAGCTCCAGTGAAACCTCTCTGCCCCACAGAACCACGAGACCTAGATTCTGGTCCTGACCCAGCCCCGTGTTCTGTGTGGACTCAGCGAGCGGGTCTCTGAGCGCCGGGCCACAGGTGGCTCAGAGCAGCAGGATGCCGTGGACCAAATGTCTCCCAGGCTGGCCCCCGAGTGTGGGCAGAGCTGCCTGGAGCAGCCGCAGGCACCCCTGATCTGAAGTCACTCCCAAGTGGCCCTTCCAGCCCTGGGGCCCCGGAGCCAGAGGTGCAGGGCTGAAAAGTGTCCTCTGGCCGGGAGAGGGCAAGTGCACTGCCCTCCCCGCACCCAGAGCAGAGGGAGAAGGGAAGAGGGAGCGCCGAGGGTCCCCTGGTCGGAAAGTGATGGAAGCCCAGACCTCTTCTTTTTGCAAGTACCAGCTGGGGGTGACCTGCCTGAGGGTGGACCTGAAGGCCCAGAGGAGAATTTGCCAGTGGGACAGGCTGCCCGAGGGCCGAGTGCAGTTTGGATGCACTGACCCCATCCCAGTGGGTGTGATTTGGGCTTTGGGGGCGCAAAGGAAGGAGCTGGGGCCCGGCCTGAAGGGGCTGCGCTTTCTCCTCCTCCCTGAGTGTCTCCTGGTGGCAGCTCTGAGTCAGACCCTGTCCCCTGGGACCTGCTTGGTCAGGAGGGTGAGAGATGGTCACACGCTCTGAGCAGATGTTTTCTGCGTTTCTACCCCTTAGGGAGGTGTTGCTGTTTCCCATGAGGGGGCATTGTGCCCAGAGCCCCACCCTCTCACACCCTCTCCCCAGGAGGCCTCCTACCTTGGTGGAGCGTCTATGTGCAGCCGGTGCAGAGAGCTGAACCGGTATCCCCTGAGGCTGCAGGCACAGTGTATCCCACGGCGGCAGAAGGAGTGCTCCTGGGAGTCTGCAGGGAACAGACATTCGGCCTGGGCCTCAGGCTGGCGTCAGGGAGAGTCCCCCCAGTGGCACCCCAGAATGTGACAGCCCTGTACTGAGCAGTGTATGATGAGCTTTGGTAGACGTAGTACTGAGGCTGTGGGAACAGAGCAGGCCGGACCCAGGCTGGGGTCAGGGAGGGCTTCCTGGCGGAAGGGCTCCCAGAGCTGAGTCTTGTCTAGGATTTAGCCAGGGGAAGTGGGGCAGGCTGGGCAGAGGGAACAGAACAGCTTGAACCAAGGAGGGAAAGAAAAAGAAGAGTGTGGTGTGAGCAGGAAGCTTTGAGCTGTGGAGAAGGTTTGGGGCATGAAAGGGAGCAAGAGGCTGTCAGGGAACGAGGGCTACAGAGGTCTCTGGGGCAGGCCTCCCTACTCCCTGCCCCCAACCACACACTATTCCCTTAAGATCCCAAGGAGAAAAGGGTCTTTGGTGATGAATCCTAGCGACTCGGTATACCACTTTCTCTTCTAGGTATTTGTTTATGTATTATGTATTATTATCTACACTAATAAAAGACAAAGATGCTAATTGACTGTACCTTCGCTATGCGCATCAGCCAATCAGAAGAGTATGCTGAGCCCTGCCCTCTGAGGGGAGGAGCCACCTGGGAGGCCATTGGTGCTGGGGAGACCTCAAGTCTCAGCCATTTTTGCGGCTCCCACTTGCCCCTAGCAAAATTAACCCAACAAAGGTGGCTGTTAAATTTGCATACTGCAGGCGGGGCGGGACAGTGTGATCCGCCGCCCGCCCTGCTGCCATCAGGGCCTGCCATCTGCCACCCAGGAGCGGGCCTAAGCCAGCAGGTGGTTATCTCCCGAGGGATCCCAGACTGTGAGAGGGCACAGGTTGGGCTGAGGGACACCACCCCCCGCCAGTGCACACAGTTTTGTGCACCGGGCCTCTAGTTTTTTAAATAATTCTTTATTGTTGAAAGTATTTCTTCTGGGGTTTTGACCACATATTAGTACATCAAAGGCTCCAAAAAGTCCTGCAGCTGAGGAACACATTCAGTTGTGCTTCTCCAGCATTGGACCACAGGATCTTATTTCCTTCTATCTAATAACACTGCATGGGAAATGCTGATGGAGCACAGTCTTCACATTTTACAGCTGAGGCTCAGAGAGGCCCAGGGACTTGCCCGAGGCCACACAGCAAGTTACTGATAGGGCCAGGGCAGCACTCCACCTCCCCGTTTTTGACAAGACTCAAGGTGGCTAGGGGCAAGTGGGAGCCGCAAAAATGGCTGAGACTTGAGGTCTCCCCAGCACCAATGGCCTCCCAGGTGGCTCCTCCCCTCAGAGGGCAGGGCTCAGCATCAGGGTGGGGCTTGTCTGGGGTTGTGCTTATGACCTTTCTCTGAGGTCAGCAGCACCCTGACCTCACTCTATAGACCAGTGGTTCTCAACCTTGGCTGCACATTAGAATCACCTAAAAATCTTTTTAAAATCCTGATTTCTGGGCCCCATCCTCGAGGATGTGGATGATTCTAATGTGCAGCCAAAGCTGAGAACCACTGCAGTCTAAAGGCTGCCCTTTCCACTCCCCTAAGCTCTTTCCCCCACTCTAGGTACAATGGTGAGTGGAAAAATCTGGGTACAACACTCTCTCTGCATTTAGACCACGTGGGGAGGTGTAAACTCAGGGCAGCGAGAAGGCTCCCAGGAGGAAACGTTCCACAGGCGTCAACAGTGGCTCCGCCTGGATGACAGGAGCACGACCCTTATCTTCTGCTTTAGACTTCCTGTGTTTTAAAGGTTTCCTACCATGAACACGTTACTTTTATACGAGGATAAAGGAGCCCGGTGACGCGCTGTGGAAGGGAGCGGAGACGAGATCTGTTTCTCTTCAGGGCTTCCGCTGAAGAATGGGTTTTTGGAAGAACTTGGGGAAGGAGCTCAGGAAAGAGATAAGCAGGGAACAACAGGGTGATGGCAACCAGGGCCGCTGGGCTCTGGTGCAGGGTCCCGTCCCTGCCAGCGTCGTCAGGAAAGGATCCCACCTGCTGTCCTAACCTCGGGAAAGCTAAGGCTGTTCCGCCGGCCTGAGTGGGGGGCCCTGGTGGGCAGGACCGCCCACACGGCTGTCCACCTCTCTCCTTGAACTGCTTTTCTTGGGTCTCCCAGGGAAACTGAGGCTGCTCTGTGGTGCTCCCTTGGCTCTGTCACTTAGTCACAGTTCAGTCATGTTGGATGCCTGTGGAGAATGCCTCGGAGCTGCCAGGCTGGCGGCTGGCAGGTGGGGGCGCCAGCCTACATGGCCTGGGAGCAGGTGTTCTAGGGGAAAGATAATGAAAACAGTTAACGCTTACTGAGCACTTACTCACTAGCCAGGTGCTGTCTAGTTTAGTCCTTGCAATAACTTTTGGGGGTGGGTCCTGTGTACCCATTTCACAGATGACTCACGTAGGTACACAGAGGTCAAGCAACTTCCCTGAGGTTGTACAGCAAGAACGGAAGATGAGGGCCATTTTGGACTCCCTGGGTGTGGGGCCCCAGGGGAAGATGTCTTGGGGATGCCTAGGTGCACGGTCTGGAGCGAGGATGGTGGGTGGTCCTGAGGCTGCCGTGGGTATAGAGAGAGGACCCAGGGCCCTGGCTCCGGGTCTGAGGACCTTGATGCTTTCCTCCTCAGGTAATAGGAACCCACCCAAAAGCCTGGGAGTGGAAGGAGAGAGACGGGAGTCTGTCCCTGGGGCCAGGGAAGGGGTGTTTGAGGACAGAAGGATCCCCAGTGCCAATAGGTCAAAGCTTGGTGCTCTGCCCACAGCTGCGCCCAGTGTGTTTTTCCTCTCTTCCCTGGCATCTTTCTAAGGCTCCTGGCAGTGCCATCCCCATCCCCATGCACCCCCAGGAGGCTGGAGGAAGGCGTGGGGGGCATCAGGGAGGTGCCAAAGCCGCAGCTGAGACCAGAAATGGCTAGGGAGGTGGGAGCCCCACAGAGGGTTCCCACAGCAACAAGGCTGCAGGGTGCTGACAGTCGGCGTGGGGTAGCGAAGGCCGGGCTGTGGCCTCCTGCCACTCTCTCTGCTCTGGAGGTCAGGCTAGGTGTCACTCATGTGGCAGTGGCTCTGGGACCCCGACCAAGAGTAGGAGGGACTGGTCTGCCCCCTGGTCCATCTCTCCTCAAGGCCACGGTTGACCTCTCAGACTTCAGCTTGGGAACTACTGTGGACCCTTCGCCCATGTTCTGAGTACCAGGCTCAGGCTGGGGGACCTCTAGGCCATTCAACAAGTTGCTCCGGTTTCCGGCCTTTAAACGGGCGGACACAGTTTGCTGTGCGGCCGAAACCAGGTGGTTCCTTCTCTTGCCCCCAGAGCACTTCTCTGGGCCAGGTGCTGGCTGGGCTGTGGGCCCACGTGGAGGAGAGCTTTGTGCAGGCCCTGCTGTCCCTAGTGCCACACAGCCATCCTGTGGCAGGGCCACTGGGGGAGGAGGAGGGACAGTGCCCAGATAGTACGGGGGGGCGGGGGGTCCAACTCAATCTGGGAGGGAGGAGGAGGGGCCAGAGAATCTCCCCAAAGGAGAGAGCATTTGAGCCAGGTCTGGAAGGACAAGTAAGCTTTTGTCGGTTGGGGAAGTATGGGAAACGGCATCCTGGACATAGGGAAGGGCATCTGCAAAGGTGCAGAGGTGGCAGGAGCGTGAAGGCGGTGCTTTTTCTGTCCTGTCGGAGGACAGAGCCTCTGGCCCTGTCTGGCTCTGGAGCCTCCAAGCACTTAATCTGCTGTGTGCCCGGCGCCCCTGGGGCCAGACCACTCCACAGGCTGCTTTCCCTGTCTCAGGAGAAGCCCTGCAGGCCGCGGGGCAGGCTTTTTCCTGCCCTTGAAGGTCGTCTGAGAATTAAATACCGTGGGGTTCCTTCCTCCACTTTTAAATCCCTGGCCCCTTCCGAGAAAGAGAGAGCACACTAGGCAGGTGGGCACTTCGGGACTGGGCAGCCCAAGAATTCACCACCAGCTCTGTTGAGAGGGTGACCCTGTGACGGGGAGGGTCTCAAGTCAGTTCTACTTGCACTTTGCAGGCTTGTCATTCATTCACTCGTCATTCAGCCCATGCATTTATCCATCCACTTACTCACTTACCCACTTATCCCATCCGATACCACACCTATCCATTCCCCTAACCTCCATCTTTCCATCCATCCACCCACCCATCCACTCACACATCCCACCCAACCCACACATCTGCCCTCCATCCAGCTATCCATCTACCTCTCCATTCATCCATTCTTCCATTCTCCCATTTGGCTATCCATCCCTCATCCCAGCCCTCATCCCTTTCTCCAACAATCCATTGATCCACCCACTCACCCCACACCTCCCTGCACCTATTCACCTCTTCATCCCCCTACCAGATTACCCTCCCACCCCACTCACCTATGCCTTTCTCCATCCAACCTGGCATCCTGGCACCATCTGGACCAGCTGTCAGTACAGCTGGACCAACAGTGGGCAGGGCTGGGGAATAACAAGCTGTCTTCCCTCTGACCGGCAGCCCCACCTGGGTCGACAACCAGGCTCCCCACGCCATTGAGGACATCATGGTGAGCATCTGTGAGCTCTTCCTGATCCCCAAGACCTCAGGATGCCTTCCCTGCCCACCCTCCCCCTCTCACGACAGAGCAGCCGCCTCTTTGATGTGTCCTGGGTTGCAGTCACAATTGGATGGGAGGGCCAGGCCCTGAGAAGGGCAGCAGCTCACCTTGGTCAGCCTCGGCGTCTCCCCGGTAGTAGCGGCGGCGGCAGTGGCGATGGGGCGGGCGGGGCTGGAGCCGCCAGGCCTTCTTGGCCAGGATGATGGTGACGCCGGAGATGGTGATGACCAGGCCTAAGACTACACATACTAGCATTATAGAAGACGAATACACATTTCCCTTCCCGAAGTTCTCTAGTTCAGCATAGAAATGGTGGGTATGGTTGCCGTGCCAGCCTATTGGGAGCAAAGAGAGAGGATGCTGAGCTGGGGCACAGACCTGCCACACGCCTTCCTCCTCCAGCCCGGCTGCCCTGGGAGTGATGCATCCCTGGCTCAGTGGAGAAGACTCAGGTCAGGACCAGAGACTCTCTCCTGGCTGCTCCTTCCAGGGAGGAGGGGAGCAGAGTCCCGAAGGAGCCTTTGGTAGCAGGATCTGACCTCCCCTCGGCTCCTCTGAAGTCTCTGGCCTCGGAGCTCAACTAACTCATGGATAGGAAAAGGGAAGCTCAGAGAGGGCAATGGCCTTGCCCAGGGTCACACAGTGAATAAGTGAACCCAAGACTCAGTGCTAGACAAGGACTCTCTTTCCCCGAGACACAAGGTTAAAGGGTCAGCAGGTCTTTACCAAGGTCTTGGGAAGGGCTGGGGGATGCACAGGATGATGGAGAATGAGGACTAACTTTGCTGGCCTCCAGCCATGGCCTTCTGCCTCAGGGGCGAAACCTACCCAGGGGACTCCGGGGCAGTCAGACAGGACTTGGCTGTGGGCATCAACTCACCCAGAAATGCGGTGCTGGGGGTTGGGTTGGATCAGGGAAGGCTTCTCGGAGGAGGTGAAGCCAGGAAATATTCTGGGCAGGGGAAGATTGGGACAAAGGCCCAGAGGTGGGGAGGGATTCCTAGGAAGGGGTGTGGAGTGGTGGGAGCATGGAACAGTTTCTCAGCATGTAATTCATGGACTGTGGATTCCTAAAAACATTACGGAGTATTTGGGGACGAGCCCTTTATCTCCTCAACATCCAAGATTACTTAGAAGCCCTGAGTTGTCTTGGGACCCAAACCAGCCTCAGCTCCAGGTCTTTTATTTGCCAACATCAGTACCCTGAGGAGGTGAATGGCCCTCGGGTCCTCTGGGGAGAAGGGCCCCTCCTTGGCCACCTTCCTGGGGGGAAATCCCAGAGCTCCCCCATTAGCGCTGACCTGCACCTTCGGCTTTGGCGAAGTAAGACACAGTTGGTCCTGGGTTCAAACCCTAGCCCTCCCTCCAGCAGGTGGTGCCCTCTGAGTAATTCACATTTCAGAACCTCTATTGCTTCATCTCTAAAATGGGAGCAGTGATCTCTGCTATGAGTGCATGAAAGCACACTGGCTAGCAGGATGTCTATTCACAGTAGGTGCTCAATAAATAACGGTCAAACCTGAAAATTATAAAAATAGACTTCAATGTGAAAGGCAGAACAGTCAAGCTTTAAGAGGAAAACACTGGAGAACATCTTCATGACCTCAGATTTCTTAAACAGGATACAAAGGTACTAACTGTGAACAATGGAAGGCTTTGAAAGAAGACTTTCTAAATATATTCACCAGCTACCACCTGCCCCAGGTCACTGGAGGATGCTTACCAGGGAGGTATCTGTTTGCACAGGCGTCTGGAACTGGTTAAGGGATCCCAAGACGCAAAAGGGTCCTTTTGCACTTCTCTACTCAATCATCCATTTTTCTCCATTAGCCGTTTCATGCTAATAGGTTTGCTCTTCAGGGAATACCCCAGAGAGCAGTTGCACCATCCATTACAGCCGTTCAGTGTCACACAGTATTAACAGAGTAGCATGTGCCTTGGGATGATACAGGAGATGAATTTTGAAACCTAGCCCTCACGTTCAATGAGGGGGCCTAGAACAGCCTTTCTTCAAATAAGTGATAAGGAAAATGCCCTGCAGGATTCCTTTTCAGTTTGAAAAAAACATCAAGTCTTACCAGCAGCTGACAGGAAATGTGCGGTATTTACCCAGGCTGTCTTCTCACGATGGCTCCCATTCCCCGTGCCCTGGTACCTCTGATTACCTGTCTTTCAGTGTGAGTGTTGCTTTAGTACTTTCCATCCTGCAAAGACTTTTGCAGTTGAAGTATAGCTTGGCTACTGAATTAAACTTAGAAACAGACCCTCATTCAGTTTCTTTTTTTTATTTTTTAAATCAGGTTTTTGCATTCTACTCTAAATCAAAGCCAATGTTAGACAAAGGGAAAATAATTGCGCACACCTTTCTCTTCCGGCATATTTCACCAGCCTGCCATCCCCAGCGCTCTTGTGACAAGGCAGGGGCAGAGCTGGGCCTTTCATTCATGCACACTTAAAAATATCCCACTGCGAGAGAATGTGCTGAGATGGAGCAGAACCTGATATAGTTAAATCAGCTCCTGAAGTTCCGCCACTATTGTGGTTATAGAACTTAGTGCAGTGTTTTTATTTAATGCTCAATGTAATTTATGATTTAAAAGCATTCCAAGAACATGCCACAGGTTTCTGAATCTACAAATTCTGTTCTACATTGCATACTGTCTGGGAATGTGATAGTTGTGCTGTTTTAAATAATTGGGTTTTACGCTTGGTATGAATGCCAGTGTGCTGGTATCAAGCAGGTGTAACTGATCATTCTACTCCTGCATAAGGATAAGAAGGGAGCAGTGCCACAGAGCTACTATTTTCATTGCTTAGAGAGGGTTGGTGACATACTGTGCGCATATAGTCACATGTACTATAAGAGTCCTTAAACTACGGACATCATTGTTGATATTTTAAAGCATTGGCGGTACCTTTCTAACTTGAAGAAAATATGAGATTTTGGAAAATGTTTATTTTATGAGCAATCCTTTAAATTTCATTTAACCTAAAGCCTGAAATTTCAATAATAGACAAAAACTCTTTAACAAGGCTGCCATTCCACTGGAAAGGTGCCCACCTTGGCTTTCATGGTTATAAAATTTTAATCTTGGAGGTGAAGTAGTAAAGCCCTCCTTCTTAGGAACTCCAAGGGAGTGTTCCATAATCTTATCTTCTGTATTATTGCCTGTAAAGTTTAAGGTTAAACATGAATAAAGTAAATAATTATACATAACATTTAATAAATGTTATATCTAAAAAGTTAAGGACATCTGTTAACCCAAAGATACCATTATGAGAGGGAAAAGGCAATCCAAAAAGAGGGAGAAAATTTCCACAGAAATGTATCCAACAGAGGACTTGCATTCAGAATATAGAAAGAATTACTATAAATCAGTAATAATAAGATCTAATAGAAAAATGGGCAAAAGAGCCCTGACTGGTTTGGCTCAGTGGATAGAGCGTCAGCCTGCGGACTGAAGGGTCCCGGGTTCGATTCCGGTCAAGGGCATGTGCCTTGGTTGTGGGCACAATCCCCAGTGGGGAGTGACCAGAAGGCAGCTGATCAATGATTCTCTCTCATCGATGTTTCTAACTCTCTATCCCTTTCCCTTACTCTCTGTAAAAAAATCAATAAAATATATTTAAAAAAGAAAAATGGGCAAAAGAGTCAAACAATCGCTTCACAAAAGAGGATATCCAAGGTGCTAAACTATATTTAATCACCAGGGGAATTCAAAGGAAAGCCACAAGGTGGTATCTCTACTCCCCACCAGAATGGCTAAAATGAAAAAATCCAGACAATACCAAGTGTTGGCAGATTGTAGAGCAACTAGAGCTCTCAGACATGGCTGGTGGGCATATGAATTGGTACAGTTACTCTGGAAAACTGTTTAGCTCTAGCTATTAAAGCTATATCTATCTTCTAACCCAGAAATTATACTCGATGGAATGCATTCTCCAACAGAAATGCATCCATATATTCACCAAAAGCCGTGTCCTAAAACTGTGCAGTTCAGTATGGTGGCCACTAGCCACATGTAGCTAGAAACATTAATTAAAATAAAATAAAATTTAATATTCAGTTGCACTAGCCACATATCAAGTGCGCAGTAGCTATACATGCTGGCTGGGGGCTATCATATTGGACAGTGAAGACGTAGAACATTTTCATCATCCTAGAAAGTTCTATTGGACAGCACTGTACTAGAACATTTACAGCAGCACTACCCATTCACAGCCCCAAACCGAAGACTATTCAAATGCCCATTAAAGTAGAATGGATACGTGATTTGTGGTATACTCACACAATGGAATACTATATGGCGATGAGAATAAATGGTCCACAGTTATGCTCAGTGGTATGGGTGAATCTCATAATGTGATGTTGAACAAGGAAGCTGTGAGTTTAGTTTGTTCAGTACACCGATGACTTGTGCACCTTTCAGAAAAGAAGGAAGAGAAATCCCTGATTTGTAGTGTTTGTCAATACCCATGGTGTAAATACTCCCATCATGGTGGATTTCATGCTACCAATGATTTAACAACAGCTGAGGAAACTCCTGAATATTTAACTATTGACTCTTGTGAGATGGTTTTTCTACTAAACAAACAAACAAACAAACAAAACAACTCTAGAGAATCCCCAGAAAAGGAACTCGGTTCTCACTGCAGATGTTCAGTGTCCCGGTGTCTTGGGACCCGGCGGGGGTAAGAGTGTAGCAGGCAGGAGGGGAAAGGTTTGCCGGTCTGACTGTCCACTGCCTCCAAGGGAGGCTGAGGGGGGCCGGTTATGACAACCTTTCTTCTCGGGTTAACAGTTTTCGTTTCAAAGGAGGGCTGCTCCTTCTCTGCATCTTCCCCGAGAACTGTGGGCTCTGTGTGGAAAGAGCACTGTATGTGGCATCAGGCTGGGCGCTTCAGAGCGTTGGCCACAACGTGTTGTGTGACCTGGTCAGTCCCATTCTGCATCTGAGTTTCTGCATCTGTGATGCTGGGGTAGAGTCCCAGGGCAAATCCCAGAGGGCCAGCAGGTGACCTCTTATATCTAATCTACAAGGCAGGGAGAACCTGTTTTATGAAGTTATCCATCCTGTGCCCGTGGTGAGGTCTGACAGGAGGCTGGCACGGCTGAGAACCTGTCAAATGCTGCCTCGCAGTGCCTGGCAGCCAGCTCCAGTCTCTGTGGTAGGTCAAACCTTGGCATCAAACGAAAAGGCTGGCATGACTGTTTCCACTGCACAGATGAGCACATTGAGGTTTCTGGATGTTAGGTAGCTTGCTTCAGATTACACAGCCGGTGTCAGTGCCAGGTTGTACTTGAACCCAAGCACTGTCTTCCTCATCACACGGACTCTGAGGGAGACCCAAGCCCACCCACACGCTCTGCCAGGCTGCAATTGCTGCCAGCCTGTGGGCAGCCTGGGAGCTTCCCCTCTCTTACCCCCGACTTCCTGAGCTCTGACCCTAATCTTTGGTGCTTGTTTTTCCTTCTAGGGACTTTTCCTTTTGCCTCTCCTAATGGGCAGGGGTAGGGCTGTGGACACTCGAAGAGCCCTACCCTAAGTCTTCCAGGTTTAAATGGGAAATCTTGGTATCTTGACGTGTACCGAGCAAGATCATTTGTGAGCTAAGAAAGTTAAAGCAATTCCCCGTTCGGTGTCTAAATTCCCAGAGCAGGTCTAGGTCTGGGAGGGAGGCGTTAAAGAGCCCGCATCAGCCAGGATGCTCTGCATCCATTCCAGAAATGTGCGAGGGTGTTGGCTGCATCTTGATTCATTCACTTGTCAGTTGTTCAATAAGCACTTATTGAAGCAGTGATTTCCAAGTTGGGTCTGAAGAGAGGGCCCGGATTGGGGCGAAGTCAGAAATGCCAACCTGTAGACCCAATTCAGAAACACCAGGATTTCCTTGGGCAGTTGGCTGAGCTGGGTGTGTTGGGGGAGAATTGAGGGTCACCCCCAGATTTCTGGCCCGAGAGACTGAAATGTCTGGTGTCCTAAACCAGGACGGCAAAATCAAGCAACAGTGGCTTGGAGGGGAAGACAAAGACTTCCCTTTGGGGCAGGCTGAACTTGAGGTGTGGGGGTGGGGCTTCCCAGGGGAGACAGGCCAAGGAAGGAACCAGAAGCTCAGGCAGAAGCTGGGGTGGGAGAGGGCGGTGGAAGCTGCCGCTTACAGTAGTGAGGATGAGGAGGTCTGGAGTGAGTGAGAAGGCTAGGGGCCAGGTTGGAGCCCTGGGGGCAGGTGCAGGAAGATCCACCTGCACCCATCAAGGAGACCATGAGTGGATGGTCCGAGCCCAGACGGCCAGAGGAGAACCCTGGGGGCTCAGGGTCATGGACAGAGTTGAAGTGACAGCAGGGTCACAGGTAGCTGAGAACTGGACATGCTGGGAGGAACTGGGTGACACAGAAATCAGTGAGGTGCTGGGTGGGGGAGCCGAAAGGGTGCACAGTGAGCACTTCGTATACACGTTCGGAGAAAAGGGAAGGAGTTGGATTAGACCATGTGGAAGAGTTGGGTAGAAACGGAGAGAGATGACAGAGGAAGGGCTGGTCCCAAAGCCCCCCAGGTACTGGCCTGGGACCTGCTGCAGATGAAATCTGAGTGGACCCCCACCTGCAGGCAGATGGGAGCAGAACTGCTCTGGCTGAAGCAATGGGGGGTGCAGGGCCCAGGGCTCTGCCCACCTGGGCTCACCCTCACCTCCAAGGAGTGTCACCACAGCCCTGGAGTCCTCCAGAAGCGGGCACGCAGAGGGCTGTCGAGGCCTCTACTAGTGTAGACGGGCAGGGCTCTCAAGGGCCTGGCTTGACCCCAGAAGGTTCCGGAAAACCCTCCACACTCTGCCCATCTCCATTCCCAGTGGCTCATAGGGGCGAGGACATGACCCCCTCAAGCTCTCTGTGGGGCGGGTGTCCGTGGGCTCTGCCGTGCCCCTGAATGGCAGCCTTTACACCTGGCATGGGGCTTGGACTTGGATTTCCTGATAATGTACCACAGCCGCCGTGACAACAGAAACAATAATGTGTTGAGTCTGTGCTGTGTATTAGCAACGATCTTTGCTCTTGACCTGAGCCCTCCTTGGGTGCCCCTTGTGGCCAGCAGCCAGACTGGACACCCCTACTTCCCCAAGCACCACTCTTTGCAGTGACCCCACTGCCACCTTATCCCCCTGGGGCATGCCTGGTGATCCCACCCAGACAGGCTATGCCAGCTTCCCCTGCCCCCTATTGCTACAGCCCCTTGATGTTCAAAGATTTAATAATTAGGGTTTCAACCATTTGGAAGAAAGACTGCAACCCAAGAAGCGTGACATGTAACGAATGGTAGAAATTTGAACGGACAGTGGTGAGTGGGGATGAACCTGGGAGAGGAACAATGACAAGTAGATAAATGGGGCTAAGGTAGAGTCCCTGATTCCACACAGACTCCCAGTCCCAACTCATCCAGGGGAAGGGACGGGAGGGCGTGCTTCATTAGATGAAATGAATTCGGAGATGAGGCCTCCCAGTGGGGATGCACCAGGGAGGGTTTCCTTAGGACAGTGAACGCCAAGGAGTGTGTTCTGTGCAGCCCCAGTCCCATAAGATGTTCCTGTGGTCAATTAAATTTGGGAAGACCACTGGGCTTTCTCATTCCTATGGAAGCCTTACAACACACATCACCACTTAAAGCAGTGGTTCTCAACCCTCTGGCCCTTTAAATACAGTTCCTCATGTTGTGACCCAACCATAAAATTATTTTCGTTGCTACTTCATAACTGTAATGTTGCTACTGTTATGAATCGTCATGTAAATATCTGATATGCAGAATGGTCTTAGGCGACCCCTGTGAAAGGGTTGTTCGGCCACCAAAGGGGTCGCGACCCAAAGGTTGAGAACCACTGACTTAAAGGCTCTGAAAAGTCCTACAATAGCAAAACCTTCTTGTGCCACCCAGCATTTCCCATACTCACTTGGTTATGGAAATTTTTATATATATTTACTAGGGGCCCGATGCATGGATTCGTGCACCGGTGGGGTCCCTTGGCCTGGCCTGCACCCTCTCGCAATCCAGGACCCCTCAGGGGATGTCAGACTGCTGGTTTCTGCCCGATCCCCGCACGAATCAGTGCACCAAGCCTCTAGTATGCATATAAGATCTTTTGTTAATCTCTTCTTGCTTCCCTCCTTCCCCCTTCCCTCTGAGATTCATCAGTCTGTTGCATGTTTCTATGCCTGTGAATTGAGCATCTGCCTCCTGGTGGTCAGTGCACGTCATAGCTATTGGTTGAACGGTTGAATGGTTAGCCTGTTGCTTAAGCTTTTATCTATATATAGATTTTTATTGATTTTGGAGAAGGCAGAGGGAGGGAGAGATAGAAACATCAATGATGAGAGAGAACCACTGATCGGTGGCCTTCTGCACGCCCTACACTGGTGATTGAGCATATAACGTGGGCATGTGCCCCAACTGGGAATCAAACTGTGACCTTCTGGTTCATAGGTTGATGCTCAACCACTGAGCAACACTGGCCAGACAGCCATGGAAAATTTTTTAAAGTTACCTCATTAATATTTCTCAGAAGAGCCCCGATCCACACTTTGGGGAGTAATGATACAGACAAATTGACAAAAATGAGATGTCTCTTGCAGACATCAGGGGTCATGTGTTGCCCTCCCTGCACCCATCATACCACATCCACCCCTGGAGCTCTCTGGCCAAACATTCTAGCGCTGTCCTCTGTAACCCTGACTCCGAGGTCTGCCCTTGCCTGTCCATGAGCCACAGAAGGATGCAGAAGGACACTTACTGGGGCAGAATTCTCTGAAAGCCATCTTGGAGCAGAAGGGTGAAAGAATCCGCCCACACAGCTCTGACTCTTCACCTGCAGAGACAGAAACAGAGAGATGACGGGGTGCCCGCACAGCACCCACCGACCTTACAGGCTGTGTGCTCATGTTCCCTGGGCTGTCAGCCTCAGGGGAGAGGATGGTGACTTTGAGATCAAGTGCCCATTCTGCCTGGGGGCTGGGGGAGCTCTGCGCTGCAGAGTATGGGGTGCTAGAGCAGGGATAGGGCAAATTTGTGCTGGGGTCTCCATGGTGGGTGGATATCTCTCCTGGGTGGATCCTTGATTAGGAATAGATGTCATGGAGTTCTCCTGACTCATGAACCTGCGAGATCCCACGGCCTCAGTCAACTGCAACAGGCCATGGCATCCTGGGCATCTTATAGCTGTTGGGACTAGAAGGACCCTTAAAGACTGGCCCAATGTCCTCGTTTTTAAAAATTTAATGTAAAACATTTTTTAATATTATTTTTTAATAATTCTTTATTGTTGAAAGTATTACATATGTCCCCTTTACCTCCCCATTGACTCCCCCCAGCCAGACCCAATCCACGCCCCCTGCCCCAGGCCTTCAGCACCCTATTGTCTGTGGCAATAAAAAATATATTTTATTGATTTTTTACAGAGAGGAAGGGAGAGGGATAGAGAATTAGAAACATCGATGAGAGAGAAACATCGATCAGCTGCCTCCTGCACAGCCCCTACTGGGGATCTGCCTGCAACTCAGGTACATGCCCTTGACCGAAATCAAACCTGGGACCTTTCAGTCCGCAGGCCGACGCTCTATCCATGGAACCAAACCAGTTAAAGTTACCACAGCTTTTTTTTATCCACTCCTCTGCTGATGGGCACCTGGGCTGTTTCCAGATCTTAGCTATTGTAAATTGTGCTGCTATGAACATAGGATAGGGGTGCATACATTCTTTCTGATTGGTGCTTCGGGTTTCTTAGGATATATTCAT